AACTATTATTATTATTATTATTATTATTATTATTATCATCATCACAGCTGGAGGAAACAGCTTGAACTGTGTAGGATGCTTCCACTGATCACCTGTAAGCCATGCTACAGTTGGCCCTCTGTATCCATAGATTCTTTATGCATGGATTCAGCCATCCATGGCTTGAAATTATTAAAAAAATATGAATTCCAAAAAGCAAATACCAAGGGCCCATTCTATTCTGATTTTATACACACACACACACACATTCCCCGAGGAGAAATGAAGTTCATTTGTATTCAATCGACTTTGATATTGCTGTTATTGGAGTCATTGTGAGCTGGTCTGGCTGTATCTTGGGGCCTGTGGAAAAGCATATGCTTTTGTTCCTTTTATGATTCCTGCCTGCTTTAGAACTCATTAGTGCTAGAGAGCATGCCTACCACCTCTTTGAACAGAACATGCGGGCTAAAAGCAGAAAAAAGGGTACTGCAGTCACTTTGCAGAAAGACCTCGACTTCCCACAGTGGTTTCTCTCTCTTTGAAGTAATCTTTGATTGAACAGGAGGAGTGTAAAGGGTGAAGGAATGCTGGGCTTTTTATATTAAGGGGGAAAAACCACCACCAAAACCTAGATAACGTTTGCCTATAACAGAGTTTGAAATACCGGTTGAATCTCTCTTATCTAAAATGTGTGATACCAAAAGTATTTTGAATTTTGAAGTTTTTTGGATTTTGGAATATTTGCATATACATAACCTTGGAGAGGAGACCCAAGTCTAAGCATGAAATTGTTTTATGTATATGTAGCCTGAAGGTTTTATGTATACATAGGTTCTATGTATAGTTTTATACATAGAAAAGTACAAAAGAACTAGAAAATATTCTAAAATGCAAAGATATACAACTCAGAACAAAAGTCAGAATCAAACAAGCCATTGTATTCCCTATTACCATGGATGGATGTGAGAGCTGGATAGTTAAAAAAGATGATAGGAAGAAAATCAATGCATTTGAGATGTGGTGTTGGAGAAGAGTGCTGAGGATCCCATGGACAGCCAAAAGGACAAAGAAATGGGTCTTAGAGCAGATCAAACTGGAAACTTCCCTGGAAGCCAAGATGACCAAACTGAGACTATCGTACTTCGGACACATCATGAGAAGAGAGGACTCTTTGGACAAAACAATAATGCTGGGGAAGGCCGGGGGGAAGTTGGAAGAAAGGAATGCCACATGCCAGATGGATGGATTCTATTAAGGAGCTCATGGGTATTTAGGGGTTGCAGGATTTAAGCAGAGCAGTGGAGGAGAGGGGGTCTTGAAGATGTCTCATCTGTAGGGTTGCCATGAATCGAGATCGACTCGAGGGCAGTTAATAACAAACAACATCCTGGAGGTAATGTTATATTTAATATTTTAAATAATTTTATGCATGAAACAAAATTTCTGTACATTGAACTATCAGAAAGCAAAGGTGTTACTCTCTCAGCCACTCATATGGACGGTTTTGGAGTATTTCAGATTTTGAAATTCTGGATAAGGGAGACCCATCCTGTACCACTTTATATTGGAGAGGGGAATGAGAAAAGAAAATGGAAGAACAAGAGAAATACTATTAAGTAGTGGAAAGCGAGGCCTGATAAAAGATTTCAGTTTCTTTCTGATTATCCAAATAAATACCCCACCCAAAACTGGTTTGCTGGTCTTCTGAGTGTCCTTTGGGAAATCACTCTGTCCTCCACAGCCTTGCTCAAGTCTTGCATATGCAAGGCTGCGGCTTCTCTGACTGGGTCTATCCGCCTCTAATGGGGTCTTCCTGTTCTTCTCCTTCCCTTCACCAAACATTATTGGCTTTTCTAGTGAGCCATGTCTTCTCATGATGTGGCCAAAGTACAACAGCCTCAGTTTCATCATCTTGGCTTTTAGGGAGAGTTGAGACCTCATTTGCTCTGGGACCTATTTGTTTGTCCTCTTGGCTGTACACGGTATCCTCAGCACTCTTCTTCAGCACCACGTTTCAGATGAGTTGATTTTCTATCTGCTGTCTTCACTATTCAGCTCTCACATCCATACATGGGGAATACAGTGTCTTGGACTATCCTAACTAGCATTCAGTTTTATATCTTTGCATTTTAGGATATTTTCTAGTTCTTTCATAGCTGCCCTTCCAAGTCGTAGTCTTATTCTGATTAAAATATTGTGTATTCTTCATCTCCTTTAAGGTTATGTAGATCATCTGTGGTCATTATTTTTGTTTTCTTAATGTTCCACTTTAAACCTACCTTGCACTTTCTTCCTTCACTTTGTCCAGTAATAGTTCCAAGTTTTTGATATTTTCTGCTAGAAGTATGGTAGCATCTCCATATCTTAAATGGTTGATGTTGCTTCCTCCAATTTTCATACATCCTTCTTCCAAATCTAATCCTGCTTTGCGTATGATATTTTTGACATACAAGTTAAACAAATAGAGTAATACCAAAGTTTGAAGCTAGTTTGCAAATTCTGCTTAATCTTAATCTTTGTTATTTCTAATTATAGTGCATAGAGTCATAGAATCATAGAGTTGGAAGAGACCACAAGGGCCATCCAGTCTAGCCCCTGATTCCTGACAGATGGCCATCCATCCTCCGTTTAAAGATCTCCAAAGAAGGAGACTCCACCACTCTCTGAGGAAGAGTGTTCCACTGTCAAACAGCTCTTATGTCAGGAAGTTCCTCCTAATGTTTAGATGGAATCTCTTTTCCTATAGCTTGCATCCATTATTCTGTGTTCTCTGGAGCAGCAGAAAACAAGCTTGCTCCATCCTCAATATGACATCCCTTTAAATATTTATACTTTCATATCACCTCTTAACCGTCTCTTCTCCAGGCTAAACATTCCCAGCTCCCTAAGTCTCTCCTCATAGGGCATGATTTCCAGACCCTTTGCCATTTTAGTCTCCCTTCTTTGGACACGCTCCAGCTTCTCAACATCCATAGTATTCTACTGAGGTGGCCCTCCAGTTATTTCTTGACTTCAACCCAACTTTCTTCTTTCAGTTATGCTGACCAGAGCCTCTTGCCTATCCATGCACTATAACCATAGTACTAGAAGAGATGAGGAAAGGAGATCATGTATATGAGAGAGGAGCACACAAATCTTTGAAGAACTTTCAATCTCTTAATCTGAGAGTCTCAAGAATCAGTCAGCATTCCTTTTGCTGCAGCCAGATATTGATGTAAAGGCAGCAGAGCCCTTCAATTTGAGCTAAAGG